AAAACTCACAGATTGCTGTCGTTGTATTCTCTGAAAACTATGCCCATTCTTCTTGGTGCTTGCAAGAACTTGAACATATCATGAAATGCAAGGTTGAGAGAGACCAAATTGTTATYCCCATATTTTATCACGTTGATCCCTCGGAAATCCGAAATCAAAAAGGGAAATATGGAGAAGCATTTGCCAAACACAAGTCTGAGAGGAGAAACGTTGAATCCTGGAGAAAGGCACTTGCGGATGCAGGGAACCTATCTGGACATGTTGCCAATGGGTAATCTTATTTTTAAAATATAATTAATGCTTCACAATTATACTTGTAGCATATAAGCTTTCAAAGGATAAACCCAAATCCTTTCATGATAAGTCCCATGTTTATAGAGAACAATTACAACATACAATTATAAAAATAAGATGAAGAAAAATGCATAATAACAATTAGGTTGTTATATAAATGTTACAAATGTTCTATTGGATTAATGATTGGGAAATTGAACAAAATAGCCATTTTACTCAATAAAATTCATTTTCTAGCCATTTTTTCATGAATGTTTCCAAAATATCATCAATTCCGTAAGTGAGGCGCCACATTCCCCAATAATTCAGAAATTGGGTCAAACTTGAGGAGTCGATGAGTCACTTGCAGAGCCAAATGAGCCACTTGCAGAGCCGAACAAACCAACTGTTGAATGACCTCTTTTTATTTTATTTTCAATTATTGTTAATATGAAAACGTACATTCCACAAGTTACGGCTTTACCACTTGTCGAATTAAAGATATTCTGGAAATTTTGATGAAAAAATAGCTAAAAATGAATTTTGTCGAATAAAGTGGTTATTTTGGTCAGTTTCCCTTTATGAAATCTAAAAGGTACTTAGGTGCCATTTACCCAAATGCTTACCCGGGTAAGCGCTTACGTGTTGTAGGAGTTAACATTATAATTTATTTTACCGGGTAAGATTGTTGTACATCAAAACAATATAACAATTTACCCTGTAAGTGCTTACCCGGATAAGAGTCGTTACCCTTGCTTACCAGGTAAGACTCTTCATCCTTATCATCGCTCTTATAGGGTAAAATTCTCGACATTTGCCATTTTTATCCGATAAGGAAAAATTGACTACTAAGCACTTACCGAATAAGCGTTTAGTAAACAGCCCTTTAGACTCATTTTCCTTGTTTAATGGTTTTTTCTCAATTAACGCATTTGTTGTTAATTATCTTTGTATATCCAATGTCCAGGCCCGAGACAATATTCATCGAAAATATTGTTACAGAAATTTCAAAAAGATTGTCTATGGCAATTCCAAGTGACAATCAAGACCAGATTGGAATGGAGGATCGCTTGCAAGATTTTAAATCAAAATTAGCAATCGATTCACAAGGTGTGCTGATGGTTGGAATATGGGGGMTTGGTGGTGGTGGTAAGACTACTCTTGCACGTGCTGTTTATGATCAAATCTCCAGCAAGTTCGATGGTTTYTGCTTTATGAGTAACGTTCGGGAAGAATCAWGCAGGCATGGTTTGAAAGGATTGCAAGTAGAAATTCTCTCATGTGTTTTGAAACAAAAAAAAGAGGAAGTAATTGGAGATGTAAGAAGGTTGATAGAGAGTAAGCTTCGTCGTAAAAAGGTCTTACTGGTTCTTGATGATGTCGATGATGCTAACCATCTAGAGGCACTAGCTGGATCACGTGATTGGTTTAATGAAGGAAGCAGAATTATAATCACAACTAGAGATCGACATTTACTGAATACTCACGGAGTAAATGTGATATACGATATTAGCTTGTTAAGTCATGACGAGGCTATGAAGCTCTTTAGCAAGCGTGCACTTGGGCATGGTAACCGTGTAGAAGATTATGATAGTCTTTCGAAAGAGGTTGTTTCTTATGCTCGTGGGCTCCCGTTAGCACTTAAGGTTTTGGGTTCACTTCTTTGTGATAAAGACAAGAGTGAGTGGTTGAGCGCCTTGGCCAGACTAAAAGATATCCCTGAAGATGACATATTGGAAACGCTAAAAATTAGCTATGATGGACTTAAAGTAAAGGAGAAAGAGCTGTTCCTAGATATTGCATGTTTTTTTAGAGGAAAAAGGTACTTTTTTGAGCAATGGGTGATACTCGAAGCTTGTGGTTTTCACCCTAAAATAGGGGTAAGGGTGCTGATACAAAAGGCTCTCATAACTGTGACAAAAGAAGGATGGTTTGATATGCATGATCTGATACAAGAAATGGGACACTACATCGTTCGAGGAAAAAACCCCCGAAATCCAGAAAAACACAGCAGGGTTTGGAAGTGGGAGGATGTTTTAACAATATGTGCTACGCCGACAGTAATGTTTAAGCTAGCCTCCTATATAAGTTATATATGCCATGAATTATATACGTATACCCGTAAAGATATAGCCTAAATCAACCCTAACAACATTTTGTTTCTCTATTACAGAAAAATGACAGGATTGAAGCAATAAGAACTGAGTTTATGTTGAAGCAAACTGAGTTTATGGGGAAGCAAAGGGAGGAAGTGAAGGTGGCTTTTCGTAATCTTCCTTGTGCTGTTGCAAAGATGAAGAAACTTCGGTGGTTTTCTTGCGATGGGTATCCAGCAACTTCATTGTCAGGAAATTTTCAATCAACGAACCTTTTTTATCTACAGTTGCGTTCGAGCTCTCTAAAGCAAATTTGGGAGGGTTATAAGGTAATTCTTATTGTTAATCTAATTAAGCAATGCGGATGATAAATTATAAATATGACTAATTTGAAGAATATAGTCTATTTACTTGTATGAACAGTGTAGAAAGTTGATGTGGTTGAATATCGGTGTCCTCAGGCAACTTTATATAAGCTTTTAATTACTAAGCAATGATATTTGTGTTCTATTTTAAATCTAATTTAGTTTTAAGTTTCCTAAAAGAACTAAATGTTATTCATATTATAAATGCTCTTAAGAATTATAAAGTAGTGACTAAAGCATTCCGTTGTAATAAAAAGTGATTTTATTGTGTTAGTTTATATATCAAACCGATTGTGTATTTTTAATAGGTGGTTTTTTCCGAACATTTTGCAAAAATTGGAAGAGGATGTTCCCCGAGTTTGATACATGCCCCATTTTAATTTGTTTTTGGAATAATATAATTAATTTTTATTAGTTACTTTCTATCTTTGTGTATCCTAGCTTCTCAACACTCTGTGCTACTAAAAAAGTATTTTGCCATCATTGACTTGTGTGTAATTGTATACAACAGCATCTGCCAAATTTGAAAGTGCTCAACCTCAGTCATTCCGTAAAACTTATCAGGACACCAGATTTTTACGGACTTCCATGTCTTGAAAGATTACTACTCACCTATTGTGACCAGTTAACAGATGTTCATCCATCAATTGGATATCATGAAAGGCTTATTTACGTGAATATGAGTTTTTGTACCCACATTAAAAAGTTTCCACCCATCAGAGGGATGAAAAAGTTGGAGACTCTTATTCTTTCTAGGTGCCCTCAACTTTGCATGTTCCCGGAGATCCAAATGAACATGGATAACATGATAAAGCTTTCTTTGACAGAAACTGGAATAAAAGTTGTACCCTCGTCATTTGGAAAGTATTGTACCAACCTTCTTTCTCTTGATTTGGGACGTTGCAGAAGTCTAGAGAGTATTGAAGGCAACTTCCATCACTTAAAACATTTGAAAAAGTTTTCTATCGCTAGATGTGAAGAGCTTAAGATACCAGCAGAGGGCTTCTTTGATGTAACTTGTTGTTTAGAGGTGCTTGATTTAAGTGATACATCCTTCATGAATCTTCACCCAGGCATCGTAAGCATGAAGTTTCTTGGTTTTCCACCTTCCTTAAGAAGGTTGCATCTTGTCTCATGCGATTGGATAAATGGAGACATCTCATCTGTTGTTTGCGAGTATTCCAACCTACAAGTATTAAATCTACAACATAATGATTTTTCACGATTGCGTTGCAGCCTCTTGCAACTCTATAGTCTGAAGGTCCTCAACCTTTCATATTGCTATGACCTTGTAGAATTACCAGATCTCCCATCAAGCATAGCTGTTCTCGAAGCATATGGGTGCAAAAAGCTTAAACTTGTAGATCTTCCAACAGATCTTAAATGGTTGTGGAGAATCTCACTTCCAATGAAATGTATATTGGGTGATATGGAGAGAAAAGTACAATCCATGCTTCAGGTATGACTCTGTATAACTTGTTGTTGAATTTCAGTATTAATTAATTTGTATATGTAGACTAAAACAAAATAATATTCATCATGATAGGGAAATTCCATTTATGATAACTCCATCAGTCTCTCTTTCCATGGTGATAACATTCGATTAGAAGACTTTGCAAGGAGAAGATTGATGTTAGAGCTTCCAAGGAACTGGTACAACGAATTCAGTGGATTCTTAATATGCTTTATAGTTAAATGGATGCTTGGTGACATACATAATGTAATTACTATCGAGGACGTAATGGGTAGGGAAAATGAAGATGTTTTGGAGGTGTCTGATGGAACTCCCAAGCTGATATGGGGTGAGGCATACAGGTGCTATATATATATATCCTTCGGTTCATTGAGGCATACCTCATGGTGGAAGTCAACACACACTACCATTTCATTTTCCATACAAAGAGGTACTTACGAAAAAGTCGAACTTGTTCCTAGAAGTAAAGGTGATCCAATAGAAAGAGTCAAACATACAACAAATTTCTCAGAGTTTTGGGAAGCATCACCTATTGAGATCACACATGATTCAAAATCTTGTATCGAGATTAACTGGCGGCATCCTACTGTGGATTACCGGCCCGACAACAGGTATTTGTTTTATTAATACTGTTTGTTCCATTTTGATAAAAAAAATATTCCTCTTTTTGATTTATTAATACTGAAATCTCTAACCTTGCTGGAGCCTGGAAGGCATCTTTGCTTTTTTTTTTCCCTTTCTCCTTAATTTCTCTGAAACTTACTTGATTTCTTAACAAATCATGCATCGTTTTAACTTTCAATTAGAAAATAAAACCATGTTTCTACATTTATATTAAAACAACAAATAACACTTCAAAATATTCATCAACAAAAACAATATTTATTTTTACCAAACAAGAATCACCTCTTAGCGATTCAGAGAACCGAACTATAAAGTGTCATATCTAAATGCGTTACAATAGGTTTATAGGATGTTTTTAAAGCAAAGTGTCTTATTAACTATTTTACAAGAGACTTTTTAGAAGTGTACAATAAACCATCTTTTTATAGGATAATTATGTTTATAAGAAAAAGCGTCGTATAAAATAGTTAATAAAGGTGTGAAGAAAATCGACCAATCCAATTAGAATCGACCAACAATGATTGGATATCCAATAGTAATTGGATCGGATCAGATCGAAAAATTCAACATCTAATTTGGATCGGTCGGTTCTTGGATCGATTAGAACCAACCGAACCGATCCCATTGACCATCCAATCAGAACCGAACCGAATTGAACCGATCGAGCTATCATCCAATGAAACCATCCAAAAATCCATCCAACCAATATTATGTAACTAAAAACCGAAAGTTAAAATTAAAATAACATTTCATAAAAAGAAAACAAATAGCAATTACATCACTACTTTGAAAAGCTTCCTTGCCTTCAAAGGCATGAAGAGGATCTTGATTAAAGTTAATATCAAACTTTGTTTTGAAAGTGTTGAGTAAAACTTGTTATAAAGCTTAAAAATGTGCTATAAACTTATTGTAAAAATTTTAGATGAATGTTTTTTTTTTGATATGGTTCTATAGAATTAACCCCTATAAAGTATTTTTTTAATCCTTTTGTAGCGATTAGATTATTATAAATAAGCTTAACACAAAAGCAGAAAAAGAAATAACAATAACTGGGTCCTCGACATCTACCATTATACCCACAATGGTCAGTCAAACTATTCTATCCATAATGGAAAAGAAACATTTACTTGTTTATAACACAGATCGTATGGCAATTGCTTTACCTAGTAAAAGACGTTTACCAACAATCAGTTTTGATGTCCAAGAATGTTAACCAAAGGTAACTGATCGAGGATGGTTACTCTTGTTGATAAACGTTTAGTTTTTCTTTTCTAATCATAACATTATAAAAGCATTTGTGCATTTCGCAACAAATTGCACAAATGCTTCTGAATTGTCGCTCTAAACTATTTATGTTCATGCTTATTTGCAATATCCATGAAATAATCATGGTTATTTTTACCATGCTATATACCTATTGGATGAGTGTCGGACATCAAAGGTATGTGCATATAAATTTGTATTACTCAACTGTTACGGGAATTCCCAATAGAATTATAACTCACAAATTCCCCTAACAATTGAGGAATACAAATCCATATATATATATATATATATATATATATATATATATAGAGACTTGGGATCATGTGAGACCAAGTCTTTTCCGTGAGACCCGTAAGACCAACTTACATCCATTGGATTTGATCAACAATCTGATCAATGGTCTGAAGTCGTCCAACGGCAGTTTTGTAATTATCGAAAAATCTGGTGGCATTTATGAAGGTTCAAGGTTCGTATATATTGAAGTTTGAATTTTCAGGTTTTATCTTCCTTCTTGAAAACCCCTCTAGGCGCGAACTGATTCGCCATTGAAGGCTTATCCATAGCGAACTTTGTTCATCGATTGAAGGCTAAATTTATGTTGGTAAGTAACAAAATTTAGGTTTTCTTTTTGATTACATTGTGTTGTTCTTCTTCTTCGTCTTCCGTTATCTTCTAATTTGTCATTTTAGTATAACCACTGTGATTTTCAATCTTAATCTCTTCACTCATCGGAAGCCTCTTCAAACTCCAGACGCGAACTGTGATTCTCGATAACTGATTCGCCATTGAAGGTTTACCCATAGCGAACTTTGCTCACCGATTGGATGCTAAATTTTTGTTGGTAAGTAACAAAACTTAGGTTTTCTTTTTGATTAAACTCCAACGCGAACTGTGATTCTCGATTGAAGACTTTTACCTATATCGAACTTTGATTTTCTATTGGAGGCTAAATTTATGTGGGTAATTAACTAAAATTATATTTTCTTTTTGATGAAATTGTATTATTCTCCTTCTTCATGTTCTGTTCTAATGGATTCCAAGTTCAAACCCTAGTTTCATATTCATGTTATGACCATTGTTGACGTGTCTCATTATATATCTACAATTCTGAATCATGCTTTCCCATGCTTTAATGTCAATGTTGACCATTGTTGACTTGTATGTAGAATATACGAAACTTTTCATTACAAACAGTAGTAACTAATTTTTGTACTTATGTTTTATTTATTTTTTATTTCTTCAGACACGCCAAAAAAGAAAATAGGAAAAATGTCATTAACAAAAAAACTTGTTGCCAAGCTAAGAACTAATCCAAAGGGAACTTCTACTCCAGAAGATGAAAATGAGATGAATATTGAAGGTAACAATTGAATGAACATTTTACATTTGATGTTTTGCCTTATTAATCATTGCTGCTTTGTTTTACTTACCATTTCCACAAGCTGGGTTCTTATCGTAAACATCATGTCTCTTTGAGGCTGAGATGAACTCTGTGATATCCTACCCTGAGCCATACCCCAACCACTTACTACCTCAACTAGGTAGTCTCCTAACTATGAAACCGCGCCCAACAGAAAGACTTGTGGTCAACTATCATATTATCCCTAAAAGGGGGACTCTAACTAAGAAAGTGGAATACTCCTCAGTGGATTCAACTATTCACCCAATGTTGTATGGGAAACTGTCCTTTCCAGTAGACGGGTACCTGCCCCCGGAAGATAGATGCCACGGAAAAKACCCTAAAATCTCTGTTGTGTGCCCCGACAATCAATATTCTCAATATTCGTACCTTGTTGAATAAGAAGAACTAGCCGTCTCTGAACAATCATCACTAGTCAGTCGTCCGAAACCTATTACTATTCCTCTGCTTCTCCATTTGCTCGATCAGGGGAACCACGCCAACATACGGTGCGCTTAAGACGAATGTCATATAAGGAGAGGAGGACGGGGCTCATGGTCCCTAATCAACTTTAATCTATAAGAACATTTGAATATTTTTGTTTGACCATGAATGTATTTCATGGTCTTAAATGAAGAAGGTAAACATTCACAGTGTTGTTGTTGTGAAGGTTTGATGTTTTTGTTCCTTCCCAATGTTTTATTAAGGTAATCTCACAGGTCTCACGAAAACAACCTAATCTCTCATAAATTGTGATGCATTATTGATAGTTTCATTACAAATAGTTTACAATTCTCTTATGGTAGCAAAGCATTCTAAGTTTATTATGTTTTGTAGATAATGATGTGAGATTGATGGATGTTGAAACCTCATCCTTTATGCCCTCAAGTCAACCCATGGTCTCAAAAAGGATTTTACGTCCAATGATTCTTAAGCCTTTACCTGTTGAAGAAGCAGGTAATGTTTAATATAAACCTTCACAATCAACTTGCAGTGAAGGTAGTGTTTTTATTTGATTTTTTTGTTTAATGAAATGCAAGTTGTATAACTTTATTCTCTTTTCTTCTAAACAACCTTCTGAAGTACAAAAAAGGAAGTCCACACATCCTACAAAGAATGAAAAGAATTTGAAGTTGGCTAGGGTTGCAAATGAAGTTGAAGATGAGGTAGTTCAGGTTTTGAGAACAAGGAGTTCTCCTCTTYAATTATGTTTGGCAATTCAAAACTTTCAAATAGAGYAGAGAAAGTMTGTTACAGCYATGAGGCTTAAGTCAATCCTACACTTTAGCATAGAATATATTCCATCAAGATTGGGCTTTTTCGTTGTCGACAATTTTGATGATGAAAGGATGGTCTTAAAGCTTTCAGTTGGGGAGCTGGAAATTGCAAAATATAGCGTGCAGAAAATGCTTGGTTTTCCAACTGGTCCTATTCGTATCACCCAAAAAAGAACAAATAGCAATGATAAAGTGGTTAGATGTTGGAGAAACCAATTTCCTCAAACCAAAAAAGAAATTCATCCATCTCTAGTTGCAGAACATATGACGCAACAAATAGATGGAGGAGATATGTTCAAGTTGAACTTTTTTGTACTCGTTGCTACCTGTTTGTGTGAGTCTATGAAGGCAGGGACAGCTAATCAAAGGCTTTTGCACTACATTGCACACAAAGAAGATATACATAACTTAGATTGGTGTGAGTTTGTCATCGATTGCTTGAAGAGAAGCAAAAAGAATTGGAATAGGGCTGATCCAACATCGTATTATTGTGGGCCATTGATGTTCTTAACGGTATGATTTATTTTTATTTACATTGTATCTATTTTATATTAACTTGATAATGTTTTTTATTTCTAGTTACTCTATGTGGATGGATTGTTATGCAAAGATTTGCATGTTCAAAGAAGTTCTCCAGCTATCAAGATTTGGACTACAAAACTTCTAAAAGAAAGAGTCTTTGGAAATGAAGTCAGGAAGTTTTGGCTATGGTATACTTCAAGAACCATTTGAAGAAGAGGAAAACCAGAATGAAGAAAATGAATATGAGTATAAAGAGGAAGATGAAGAGGAAGAAGAAGACGAAGACAAAGAAGAAGACGTAGAAGGCACAAGAAAAGAGGTATATATTTCAATATTTTGCCAATATAAAGTTACTGCCGTTTCGTAAAATTAATGAATATTCCCATGAAGCTTACTTCCATTTCGTTGGTGTATAATTCTCAGGTTATAATGGTCGCATTGTTTGTATCTGGAGTTCCATTCAACATTGCTTTTGTTGATGGTAACTTTACAGCATCTTTTCTTCAACGTTGAAGTATGTAGCGTTTTGGAATTTTCTTGATCTCATGATGCCTTAACACATAAAAAGCATGACGACATAATATTCCATAAAGCTGAAAATGAAGACATGTGCAAGTTATGATATGATCTTTCTCATAAAAAAGAACCTGTAATAAGAAAGAAACAAACAAAATGAAGATTTAATATTTCATACATTAACAACATGGATGTTGTGAAGGACCTTGCGTATMAACTCATAATTRAAGTTAGATTCATATGTTTTAACTTCATTTACCTTCTAATAACATTGAATTGTATGAAGCACTAGATCAAGATAACTTAACAAGTAATAAGTATCATTCATTGGCATTAAGTTTATAATTAATTTAGAATTAATTAAAAAACATACCTTAAATTCTCCTTTTCTTTCTTTATCCCTGTCTTGAATTATWTCTTTACTCAATGCTGAACATGTCCACAACGATGCAATAATCTCCTGTTGAACAACATAAAATATTTCMCGTGTGTAAACTTCTGCTGCATGCCTCTCTATTAGAAGAGGGGTCTCCATCATCGGTGTTGTCGTCCTCATCTCATGATCAAGTAACCTTTGTGTGTACCTTTGTTTATCTATCGCAATCTCAAAGCGACTGAAAAAGTGCACGAGTGTTGATTTCCAATTTGAATTTTGGCCGAAGAAGTAGTTTTCACTTTCTGATCTTGAAGTTGTCTTCATGAGTCCAGACATTTGGATATCTCTATAATATGCTGGGATCCATCTATCCCGAATGTCAAACATATCTCTCAACCATTGATGACACTCCAATTTGTACTYYGCCAAAAGTGACATCCATTGCTCTTCAAATTGTATCGRTTCAATGTATTCACTCCAAACAAGATTATTAAAACGTGATCGAAAACCTACATCATCATCATTAAGTTGGGTTCCAATCTACAAAACATGATGAAATATAGTTAAATGAAGTGTTATTAAAACAGAAAAATAAAAACTCACATAATTTAAGTTTCCTATGCAGGATGTACATTTAATTGGCATTACTTTCACATAAAATGTTTGAAAATTTCACTACTTAAAATTAACGGGAAGTTTGCTGTGAAGGTTCATGAAATTTATATAAAGGTAATTTTTAGAGTGCTAAACTAAGTCATTTCATAAAATCTTCACAGAAATAAACTTAATTCAAATTTAATTGATAGTAACTTGACTTAAAATATTGGAACTACAAAGTAAGTGTAAATAGAGTGTTAAACTACACACGGTTCAAATTTAAGTACATACCTTTGAAGGAAGTTTATTCATTATATGCCACATACAAAGTCGATGCTTTGCACTCTTGAAAACAACTTCTATTGCTGCTTTCATTCCTAAATCTTGATCTGTTATAACCATTTGTGGTTCAGAACCATGCACAGAAAGGAATGCATTAAGTTACCATGC